AAGCCATGAGGAGCAAAAGTGTGTTTGCAAATAGAGTCAGGCAGGAGCCCTTTAGTTTTACTCAGATGCTTGTTGCTGTGGGCCTGCCCTGCACCTCATCTGGCTTAAGCCTCTGCAAAACAAAGCAAAACAAAACAAGCAAACAAACAAAAAACCCTAACCAACAAACCAAAAACAACTTCAAAAAAAACAAAACAAAACAAACAAAAAAATCCGACCTCAGGCGCCACCTGGTGGTAATCTTGGATACTAACAGGATAGAAACAACGGGAGTCAAAGCGGCTCGCATCCCTCTGCCTCGAACTGTTCCTTCCTATGTCTTTCCCTAGGTATGGACTTGCTGTAAAAGTGATAGAACAATCAAAGGCCATTTTTTAAATTTAAAAATTACATTTTTCCAGTTTTAGAAGCAATGCATGTTCATTGCAGAAAATTTGGAAAATATAGAAAAGAATAGGGGCACCTGGGTGGCTGAGTTGGTAAAGTGTCCGACCCTTGATCTCAGCTCAAGTCTAGATCTCAGGCTCTCGAGCCCAAGCCCTGCGTTTGGGCTCCATGTCGGGCATGAAGTGTACTTTAAAAAAAAAAAGAGAGAAAATATAGAAAAGATTAGAGAAGAAAATCAGTCATCCTAATTCTACCACCCAGAATAACCACTATTAATATATTGGTGTATTTCCTTCCAGTGTTTTTCTCTGCATATAATTTTCACATAGCCCAAGATTAGCATGTATATATGTTTACATATAAACACATATACATATGGGCTCAGTTATATATAAACATATGTTGAGTATGTTTTTAGTTTTTATTTTAAAAATTTTTTTAGTTTTTGTTTTTACAATTTTTTTTAAAGTTTAACTCCAGTATAATGAACACATAGTCTTATATTAGTTTCGGGTGTACAATACAGTGATTCCACAGTTCCGTACATTGTTCAGGGCTCATCACAGAAAGTGTCCTCTTCATCTCCTTTACCTTCTTCACCACCAGCACCCCCAACCTCCCCTCTGGTAACCATCTGTTTGTTCTCTATAGTTAAGAGTCTGTTTTCGTGGTTTGTCTCTCTTTTTTCTCCTTCTCTTCCATATGTGGGGTATTTTTGTGCACAAAGTCCTGGTGTGGGAGTGAGTGTGGGTGTTGGCAGCTGGGTGCTAGTGTCACGTCATGCTGAGTTGGAACCCTTTCCTGGCTGTGTGACTTGGGCAAGTGACTTCTCTGGGTAACAGTTTCTCTCTGTAACTGTAATATGTGTTTCATAGGGGACTTACCCCAGGGCTGTTGTGAAGATCACACAACATGGTGTATGTGAAATGCTTCAGACAGTGCCTGAGGCAGAGAGGTTTCCTCCTGGTAATACAGTACCGTGGAAAGCTGCATCTGCCTTTATGATTCATGGCAGAAATCTCGAGAAATGGGATGGATTTCTGGGTCTAAGGATATGAAGAGCCCCAAGGTTGATACAGTTTACCCAAATTCGAGAGGCAAATTGCAACCAAGATCTCATGCCTCCAGCACCACAGCTGTTCTCATTTGTCTCTATATTCTTCTAGGCCCTGTTTGCACAGAACACGTCTCAGCATTGTAATTACAATGCTTGCACTCGTTGGCTTCATGTTACATCATCAACATTTTCCTCAACGTCTGGCGCTGTCATTGACAGCATTTGCCACCTTTCGCTTAACTATTTCCTTGTTGTGGACTATCTGAGTTTTCTTTTTCATTCATTCATTCATTCATTCAGGAAGCAGTTCTGCCAGGCACCGGACTAGGTCCTGGGGTAGAGTGGTCAGCAAGAATGGCATGCTCCTTACTGCGGGCACTTGAACTCTGGCCAGCAAGAGAGGCCACTACAAACAAGCAAACAAGCGAGACTCCCACTGTAAGCTGTGGTGAGTGCTGTGAAGGAAAAGGAGGGAACTACGGGAGGGATTCACTTTGTGACACATTTTTATATTTTCAAGAAGTCGTCCCGGTGTCTCATTCTAACCTGCTGTTTGCTCCTTGGCAACTGTAACCGAGGTTTCTCTTTGAGGAGTCCCTTTTGGGGTTGGATTTTCCACTAACACAGTTTCATGAGGAGTCAGGGCTCATGGAAGTGTTCAGAGATCTGACAATGAAATCTAATGGGCCTTCTTTCCTGTTCTCCCTCCCTCTAAGGCTAGTGTTTCAACCAGTGTGGTCCCAAAGAGACTTGCAATTAGCCACTTCTCAAATCTACATGCACTGTGCCTTTTCCTCACCCCCCTTCCCAGTATAGGACTTCAGCTAGCCCTGGGAGCCTTTGAACCAATTGTCAAATGTGCCCCCTTCCAGAGGACAAAGCCTCAATGACTGAGGCTTGGAGGTGCAGGGCACAAGTTGGATTTCAGCCCTTTTGAGGCTCCTTGGATCGCCTGCATGACTGCACATGGCAGCCCTGCCCACAGCCTCTGGAATGCCCACCCCACCTACTTTCTATCTCTCTGATTGTCACTCCATCATGACAATGTATTTCATCTCTTATAGGAAGTCTTATCTAGCTTTCTAATTCACAGTAAATTTTCCATTCCTTGAACTCCTAAATAATTTTTTTACTCCTTGCCTTATTTGCACTTAATCGTACACTGTCTTCTGATTCTTCCTGTTTTTCTCACTTGCATCACTATTTCATCTGATGGAGGATGATTTAGATTGAGAAATCAGAGATATCTCTGTAGATGTATCATTTATACTAAATGCTGAAGGAGAGGTAGGCAAGAGTTCTAGAGAAAGTGTTCTAGGCAGAGGGAAGGGCATGTGCAAAGGCCCTGAGACAGAAGATTTTTGAGATGCAAGGCCAAATGAATATGAGTATCTCTGCATGGAATGGCCTTTACAGATTTGGGAAATGAAGTGGAAAACAACTATTAAAGTATGCATTCTCACTACTTTCTGAGGACCTCTTTGTTCTAACCCCTGGAAAGGACATATTGAGATGAATCAGACCAGACTACACATGTTCCTTCCTAGACTAATGGAGGAGGCTAAGATGATTTCTATGTAGTGTGACAGACAGACCATGGTAGAGAGTTATCATGTATGTCAGTAGAAGGATAGAGAGAATAACTATTTCTGCTTGTGGGCACTGAGGAAAGCTTATCCAAGATGGAGACATCTGAGTGAGATCTGATGTAGGGCGACCCATGGAAGCTGGTGCATGTTCCAGGCTAAAGGCTTGTACTGGAACAATGATAATAAGGATGGACGAGAGAGGAAAGAGGAGAGAGACATTTCAGTGTAAAACCTGTAAGACTTGGAGATGGACTGGTTTTAGGAGGCCAAGGAGAGGAATAAGTTAAGGCGCTGCAACTTTGGCATGGGTGACTGAAGAAAGGCAGTACCCCTCAATGAGATCGGGGATGGAGGAGGAGAGACAAGATTTGAGGAGGGTAGTAGGTTGGTGGAGAGACATTGGGGGATGGCGAGGGCTTCTCTTTGGTACCACGGACAGCTCCAAGGATCTCCCGGAGGACTTGACATAGGCTAGATGAAACGGTTGACACGAGATGCTTTAGCATCAGCAGAGGAGCTAATTTAATATACAGACTCCCAGTCCCACCCAAATATTCTGTATCAAAATCTCTGGGGTTGGGGTTCAGGAAGCTGCTTTCTAAATAAGCACCCCAGATAACTCAGGTACAGGCAGTCACACGACTATACTTAAACCACTGGTGGCCGCCAGAGAAAGAGATGAGAGCGCCCTCTGCTGTTAAAAGGACGTTTGGACCTCTTGAGTTTATGACCGGTGCATTTTAAGGCAGTTTTATTTAGGAAGGGAATCCCAAAGCCAAAACAAAGAAACAAGAGACCAGGGGATATGAGTGAGAAAGAAGGGCCACGTGTGTGCAGTTACAGTTACTGTCTTTAGTCTGGGGGTGCTGTTACACCCTCCCAACTGCATTCCCTTCAAAAAAAAATGTGGCTCCCTAAGGCAAGAGGAGAGAACCCTCTCCTTGGATTGGCTTTAAAAATATATTTCATCCCAAAAGAAATGAAAGCAGGGACTTGAAAAGGTATTTGTGTACACGTGCTCCTAGCAACATTATTCTCCACAGCCCAACTGGTGGAAGCGATTCAAATGTCCATTGACGGATGAATGGATAGAGAAAATGTGGTGGATTCATGAGCAAAACATTATCCAGTCTTAAAAAGGAAGGACATTCTGAGATATGCTACAACATGGATGAACCGTGAAGGCATTATGCTGAGTGAAATTAGCCAGACACAGAGGGACAAATATTGCATGATTCCACTTGTATGTAATGAGGTCCCTGGAGGAGTCAAATTCATGGAGAGAAAGTAGAATGGTGGTTACCAGGAGCTGGGGGGAGGAAGGATGGGGAGTTATGGCTTAATGAGTACAGAGTTTCATTTGGAGAAGGCGAAAATGCTCCAGAAATGGGTGTTGGTGATGGTTTTTACACACTCATGTGAATTCACTTAATGCCATCGAATGGCAAGCCTAAAAAAAGGTTAAGATGGCAACTTTAATGTTTATTTTACCACAATAAAAAAAGTGACATAATAAGAAAAGCGGTGTTAATGCCCTCAACTTGACGGGGAATGTGTAGGGTTTCTCCATCCCATGGGGCGCTGAGATCGGGGAAAGATGCCTCCCTTCTCCGTCTGGGGCTCTCCCAGGACCAGCAGGTGCTTCTTTCAGCGGATAGCTGCTCCCCCAGGGCCTGGACCGGTCCCGGCCAGCATCAGACTGAGGTGCTTCCAGATAGTGGAGTTCCCTCCACCGACGAGGTCCTGCCTCCTTCTTCCGAGGTTATTCCAGCGACTGTGTAGCGGGGTGGGGGAAAGCGGGCTTCTTGTTTGAGATCCTCCGCAGCCCCCGGACTCAGGAGCCCCACAAGTGCCCCAAACCCTGGTAACCTCAATCTCCTCTCTTGCCTCCAAATTCTGCGCCCTTAGAAAACCAGCGCCGTCTTCTCGAACCGGCGGTCCAAGGCGGCTTTCCGCCCTCTTCCAAGATGGCCGCCCCCGCCTCTGTGACAGGCCTGATCACGTGGACGCCGTCGCCTATGAGGTCGTCGCGGCTCCGGCCGCGATTGTCCCTTCCCGGGCCCCGTCCCGAGGAGGTGCCCGCCCTTGTCAACCAAAGCCCGAGCGATCATGGCAACGGGCTCTGGCGGGGACCGCGTGGCCGCGGCGGCAGTTTGGTCGCGGGCCGGGACTGCCGAGCGGCGGCGGCGGCGGCGGCGGTGGCACTGGCGCTGGTACCGGCCCTGAGCGCCATGCAGCGGGGCAGCTCCGAGAGGGAGTTGGCGGCCGGCTGGGAGGCGGAGGCGGTGGCCGTGGCCGAAGCGCCGGCGGCGGTGGCGGCGGCGGCGGAGCCGGTCGGCGTGGACTCGGGCGCGGCCGGGGAGCCGGAGAGCAAGGCGCCGGAGGAGCAGTCCAAGGAGCGGGCCCGGGCGCAGCCCCGCGCGGCCGAGGAGGGGGACGGCCTGGTGACCCCGCGGCCGCCGCCCACGCTGCCCCTGGCCAAGCCGCAGCCCGCGCGGGTGCGGGGCGTCTGCCCGCACCGGAAGCCCTGGAGCAAGGGCCGGGGCTGCCGGCGGAGCTCGGGCCGCTCGGCGGACGAGTACTGCTCCCAGCGACCGGTCACCGTGGACAGCTCCAAGGCCAGGACCTCCCTGGACGCCCTGAAGATCAGCATCCGCCAGCTCAAGTGGAAGGAGGTGAGGTCCGGCCCCGCCGCGTGGGCATGGCGGGAGGGTGGACAGTTCGTCCTCAGAGGACCTGTCACGGCCCAGGGCTGAGGGCTGAGGGCTGAGCTCCTGCTGAGCACCAAGCTCCAAGTGCTCATCCTTCAAGGCCTAGCCGCCAAAGTCACTTCCTCCCGAAGACTTTAAGCCCGCTCCGGGTCAAGTTAGTCACCTCTTCCCTGGCTCCCCTACACTACCGCTCTGGCTTCTAGCCATCAGCGCTCACCCGCCCCAGACGCCAGCACTCCCCTACATTGTAGATCTTAGCTTCTGTGTCTGTCTGCTCCACCAGCTTTGGGTCCTCGGGGCCAGGGACCCTCTGTTTCACTTCATTCAAGTTCTCATGGTACAGCACTTCCTGTGCGGCGGTTGAGGAGTTGGTACTTTGGAGGCAGACAGACTTAGGGTCTCAGCACACCCTGCCACTTAGGTATGTGACTTTGAGGAGCAAGTTGCTTCACTTCTTAAGCCTGTTTCCTTTCTGTGAAGTGAAGCTAATCATCTGTCTCCTATCAGCGTTAGGAGATAGGAGATCTCCTATCTGCTTATTGTAGCGTGGCACAAGTGTGCAATAAATGGTAACTCATCCTACCACCTTCTCCTCTCCCTCTTCCTCCATTGCTGTCACCGCCACCAGCATCATCATCAGGGCAGGACCTGTATTTTACATTCTAGGACTTGGTATATACTGCGTGTCAGTAAGTGGTGGGTGCAGGGGTGAGTGAAGGAATGAACCCATTTTAGACCTGGCAGGGGCTGGGATGCAACACCAGTGACACAGAGGGGTGCCTGTTGCAGTTGGCTGACTGGGTACAGCCATATGACTTAATTTTCAGCTTCTAAGGCTATTTAACAGGGTTCCAGGAGTGGCGGATTGTAATTTAGGTGAGTCAAGTCTGGAGACTTAGACTCAGATGGTCTGCTGATGGAATGGGAATCTTCAGCAGGCAACATGAAGATTTGGGTACTTAGCTCTGTGCTTGGCTTATGGCAGACATTCAGGAATGGTTTTATGAAGATGGAACACACAGAGAGATGGCCACAGAAAGGATTGATGAGGTCAGAAGGTTGGCGTCCCAACAGGAAGGAGTCATGTAGTTTGGAGGGAAGTCAAGATTTAGGTGGGTAGGGGTTAGCCATTGGGGGCATCTGACTACCCATTCCCCGCTCTACTAGTGTCAGGGTCCCCAGGCTTGGGGCTGGGGTTTCAGAGGACTTTCATGCCTAGGAAACCTGCAAGGAGGGCTCCCTGTTCTGGGCAGGACCCCAGGTCTGGGCCAGAGATAAGAGGGCTAGAACAACATGGAATTGGAGAACTTGCCAATGCCGTAGTCCTAAAGAAAAAAGAATCCAGGGACTGAAACCAGGCCACAAGAACCAGGCGAGGCTGACCGGCCCAAGGAGGGCCTGTGCTTAGCTTAGCCCTGTGGGGAGAGAGACATGAAGCTGACTAGATCTTGAGAGATGCAGCCAGAAGGACTCAGAAACCAGCAGGCATACATGCCAGGTTCATGCACTCAGTCTGTGAGTGTTTGCCGTGGATGCTGGACCCTGGGATTCAAGGACCCTTAAGAAGTAACCTCTGCCTCCAGGACGTTATAGTTCAGTAGGGATAAAACACAAGTAGAAAAACCCATTGCAGTGATTATAGCGTCTTTGCCCCTGCTTCCTGAAATGCTCTTTTCCCAATTATTTGCATGGCTCACTCTGTCACTTTCAATGTCAGGGCAAATGCCACCTCCTCAGAGAAGCCTTCCCCTGTGATCGCTCCTCCAACCCTTACTCTTCTTTATTACTTTTTTTTTACGCACTAAACTCTACTCGACACTATATTATGTGTTGTTGTTTATTACCTGTTTCCATCATTAGAATGTAAGCTCCGTGCGGGCAGGGGCTTTGTTTTATTTACTGCTGTATCCTCAGGTACTTGGTGCATAGTAGGTGTTCAATAAATACTTGTTGAATGGATGAACACATGATGTGATGCGTGTCTCCCTGTCCCTCTGTAGAGCTGTAGGTGCTGGGGGAGAAGAGCAAGGCCATACCAAGAAGAGCTTCCTGCAGGAGAGAGATGTAAGCTGAGTTCTGAGTGCCAAAAAGGAGTGAGAATTAGGGATGGCCTGTGGACTTTGGATCTCTGGTAAAGGGCATAGTATAGGCCTAGCTGAGGCACATTTGGGACTTTGCATGTAGTTCAGTATGGTGGGATGCGTGTGTTTAACGGTCTTCCATTTATCGACTCTGCTTGTTTGGCAAGTGAGTTCAGCTCTTTAGGCCTCTTCTTCTGCCTGTCTATCAAATGGGGATAAGTTGGGCGAGATAAGTGGTTCCTGGGCTCTCCTGTGACAGCCGCATAATGGTCGTGTTCATCTACACAAGGCCCTTGCACGGGTGAGCCCCGTGTAGGGGGCAGTTTCCAGGCACCACCTGTAACTGCCCCCTCCACCCCAACCCTGCCTTTCTCTTCTCCCTCAGAGAGACACTGGCATGCAGGAGTTGCTCCTTCTGGTAGATTTTAAAACAAATTCACTCACCACATAGGACTTTACTATTCGATGCGTGATTATTCACTTAATGTCATTCTTCCCTATGAGTCTGTGAGGTCCTGGTTCTCCTGGGAGGGTGGGAGTGGTGTTTGACTTGGCACACATTGTAGGTGTTCGATAAATATTCACCAAAGGATGCTACTTGTTGCAGAGCTTGTATTCCATCCTGATACCCTAGAATGTGGAGTTTCAAAAGTACTGGAGTGGGTAAACTTTAAGTTCCTTCCAGCTTTAAGCTATGACAATGGTATTTTTAGTACCTACTGTAAAATTGACTGTATAACTAGTAATGTATATAAAGCAGGTACTAACAAAGTACAGACACTACGTCTCTAGGCCTCAGTTTCCCCATCTGTTACAGGGGTGATGGTGGACAAGATCACCTGTAACGTTCAGCACTGATGTTCTAGGAGCAGACATCTCTCCACCGGGAGCTGGGACGTGAGGGATTGAATGGCGTCCCTTGAATGCTATGCTGTAGCTGTGGGATTTGGGACACCCACCCAGCTGGCTGGCTTTGGCAGGGGTGAGCGGGCAGTCCAGGTAGGAATTAAGGTCATGAACACCAACCAGGGTAAAAATATTTCCTTCATGAGTGTACAGTGAGGGGCCACACCACATGGTCCACTTAGCAGGGCATCACGTAGCCAGCGTGTGAATTCAACATTTGCCTGGTTACAGGACACGGTCTCCCTTCCTCCTTCACTTTTCTTTATTACACATACATTTAACAACAATGACTGTGAATGTCAGCGACTATGATGACCCCTTATATAACTCTTAGACTGCACCAGGTACTCTTCTAAGCGCTTAATGTATCTACAGTGATCTGATTTTCCCAACAACCCAATAAAGTGCCTCATTGTCTCTATTTTTCGGAAGAGGAAGTTCAAGTACACCGAGGGTAACTTATCCAAGGTCATGTGGCTGATCAGTGGCGGAGCTAGCATTCGAAACAGACACTCCTTTGGAAACTAGCCTTCAGTTCTGGACACTTCTACACTGTTTCCTACTGGATCTCTGTCTGCAGACCCTGGGTTGGAGTTACAGATCTAGATGTGAGTGGGAATCACTCCTTGCCCTCCAGTAGCAGGGACAGACATGTACACAATGGCAGTCCAGTCTGGGTGTTGAATGGGTAAAGGCCATTCCACACAGAGTAGGAAAAAAGGCAAGGAGCACGGATCAGCTTTTGTATGCCAAATGGGAAGATGGCAGCATAGAGAGCATGTGGGAGAGCGGGAGGGATGAAGAAGGAGCCAGATCACGGAGGACGTTGGAGGCCACACCAAGAGGCTTGTGCTTCTGCCTGAATATGGTTACAGGATCTTTGCCATATATAGACTCAGCTTCTCTTGCCCACTCTCTCAGCCCCACGCCAACTCTCTGATGATTCTGTTTTCAGTTCTAGCCAGTCTGGTCAGGTCTGATCCAACTGTGTCTGCAATGTTGAATTCGCCTCTCAAAGGAGAAGTCACAAATGTTAGCTCTGTGAACTTAATAGATAAGGCGAGAGTTTATTTGAGAATAGCTAAATCAGGTTTATGGAGTCACTATTGAAGCTGCCACATGAAAGAGACAGATGGTTCCTGGCTCATGGTAGACGCTCAGTAAATATTTGGGGACTTGTGTGGTCCTCTTCCAATTGTGTGAGTCTCTCTCCCCATCCCCAGTGTATCCTTCTGCGGTTTTGACACCATCAGTAAAGAAACCTTAGGGGAAAGACACCAAGGAGAGCAGATCCACTATTGTTACAAGCTGCCCTCCCTGGAGATGTAGGTTGTGTATATGTGCACAGTGGTGCCATGGACACCGGCTCACTGATGGGAACGAGGGCGCTGAGAGATTCCACAGAAGGATCTTTGTTGACAATAGCTTGCGTAAGCGCCTGTCCCAAGATCTATTACAGTGGGAGCTCTTTTTTTCAGAGACCCCAAATCATGAGTTGTTTTCTGAACCTTATCCAACCTTCCTTCGAATATGTACACACTTATTATATTGTCCTATTTATAACTTAGAGAATATTACTGTTTATTAAACATCTGTTACTGTTTACGAAATATCTGTTATGTGCCAGGGATTGTGCTGAGCGTCTTATGCTCATTAAAAATTATATCAGACATTTACTATGGATTGTTTCATGTGATCCTCACAGTAAACCCCCGAAGTAGATCCTATTATCACTTCCGAATTACAGGTGAGGAAACCGAGGCTTAGGAAGAGGTTGGTGCAGGGCTAGCCCAAGGCCACAGGTAACAAGTGACAAAACCATCTAGGGCCTGTGCCTGGAACCGGTGTATAATCCTACGCTGTCTTCTTTGCTAATCCTTGGCTAAAATCCACCCTGCCAGGGGTTACTCTATTATTAGTCCCAGATAATGCTTGAAGACACTGAGGTGGGCACAGCAACTAAGGAGAGTCAGGGTT